CCCCGGCGGAGGCAAGAGGTGGTTGGGGGGACCATGGCTGACGTTTTCCCGGCCAACGACTCCACGGCGTCTCAGGACGTGGCCAACCGCTTCGCCCGCAAAGGGGCGCTGAGACAGAAGAACGTGCACGAGGTGAAGGACCACAAATTCATCGCCCGCTTCTTCAAGCAGCCCACCTTCTGCAGCCACTGCACCGACTTCATCTGGTAGGTGCGCGCGGGCCGGAGCGCACGGCTGGGCGCCCGGGGCTGGGGACCGGTCCCTCTCTAGTCCGGGTCACTTCGTCCCGGGGACCCTCGCTCGGGCCCCCCAATCCCGGAGCGCCTGTTTTGGGGCTGACCCAGTCGGGGAACTTGGAGAGAGCCGGCCGAGTCCGAACTCTCGCCCGGAACGACACGCGCGCGCCGGGGACACTCGCGGGCAGGACTCCCGGGGAAGTCGCTGCCAGGTCACACCCCCTACCGCAGGAGGGAGGCTGGCCCCGCGCCGCAGTGACACTGATCCCCTCCGCGGGTCTGGTGTCTCCTCCGTCTCCCAGGCGCGCCCGCCTTTCTGTACGGACAGGGGAGCCGCCGCTTGCTGGATGTGAGCGAAGGGGAGAGCGAGAAAGAGAATCCAAAGGGCAGAGTTTCCCGGAGAAACGCCCGGAGTAACCGGGGAGCGGCGGCGATTGCGCCGCGCGGTCCAAGTTATTGGCGAGCCGGGCTGGGCGACTTCGGGGAGGGGGGAGTGTTGTTTCCCAGCGGGCTTGGACTCCTCTGGAACCTTGGGTCCTTGCCTACTGTAGCTTATATCTGCTGGGCACGGGAGACTGGACTTTCCAGGGTGAGCCCAGGGAGAGCGGAGAGGCAGCAAACTGTTGAAAGCTTGCAGTGGGGGAGGGGAATTAAAACCGAGCAGGCAAATGGCAGAAGGGCAGAGGGAGTCTTTTAAAATAGACCCTGTTAGCACGAGATTAGACCTGCAGCCCGGCTGATGAGGACAGAGGCCTTAGTTAAGAAAACTATTGTAAGGTGTCGGAGTTCAGGTACAGAGTTTACAGCTAATGCGGTCTTGTGGGCCCAGGGGTTTGGGGGGGGACTTCTAAAGGGATGGCCTTCAGGGATCTTTGAACCCTGCGAAGCTAGGCAGAACTGTATATACCTTCTTCTAGTGAGAGCTAATGGCTCTTACTGACTCTCAGAACATGGTGACCCAACCCCCAAAGTTTAGAAAGCTGAACCGTAGGGAACCCTAGGTGCTCCAGTTTGAGCAGTGAGCAGTTTTTTCTCAGGTTGGCAAATACCCGGCCTTTTTCTATCTCCTGTTCCTGAATGTAGGTAGGAAACTCCCCAAGTCAGAGTTATGGTGAGGGTTCCTTAATTCCGGTCTCTCGTAGGTCAGGGGACTGCACTGGGGTGACAGTGCCACAGGGCCACTAACCCTCTGTGGCATGTATCTTTTGGGGCCCTAGGCAGAACTTACCGATGGCTGTGTGAATCCATTACACCCCGGGGTGGGCGGGCGGGGAGCAACTCCAAGGATGAAGTCCACAAATGTGCTAATAAGATGCTTAATTTTTCCTTTATGGATGGCATCTGAATTCACACCAGGGGGAAATCATAAGCCCCACAAATATGCTAATAGGGTGCTTAATTTTTTCCTTTATGGATGGCATTATCTGAATCCATCACATCTGGAGGAAATCACCTCTAAGGGCCCCACAAGCGTCCTAAGATGCTTAACTTTTCCTTTATGGATGGCTATTCGAATCCATCACACCTGGGGAAAAGCATCTCTAAGGGAGTGCCACACGGTGCTAATAAGGTGCTTTTTCCTTTCCTTTTTAGAAATCTCAAAAGTACTTTCATGAAAAGCACAGCCACCTTTGCGAATGATTTCCACTGTGTAGTCATTATATGAAGCAGTTGTGCTCAAAGTAACTATAGATAAGGCTATCTAAAAGAAGTTCTTGGAGCATCAGGGCAAGAGGTTACTGCATCTAGTTAAGGGGACTTGTTCAGCCTCCCATGCCGATTGTGCGATCCCATAAAAAGGGAGCATTGAGACTGCAGACTACTTTTGGGGGTGGGGCGGAGTAGGTGAATTAGGAAAGGGACTTGCAACATACATAATCAGGCTAGCTAATGTCTTTCCACTATCAGTTGCTCTAAAGGATTCGCCCCTGGTGAACTGCTATGGTACTTGAGGTCATCAGGTGTAATGTGAAGTGGAAAATAAAGGTCTCCCTGTCAGCTTCCTCCCTGAGTAATTCCTGTAATACTTTTAATTAGAAACTACTTGAAAGTTCCAAGAAAATATTCACCAGGATTATCTAGCAGTAGTTTTAACTTCAGTTGTCTTTCATTGTGTCTATGGGTCCGTAATTTACAAGTTTGTTTTAACTATTAAAATACTGATACTTTAAAACTATAAATGTTTGGGCTTAAATCTGTTTGGTGGAATGAGTAAGTTATATATAAAGATACATGAAGTGCTTTGTCAACTTAAAATGCTATGTAAAGCAAGAGATTATGACTAAGAATTTTAATGCAGTTCATCGTAGTTGAAACAGTGTTTACAATTTAATGTCCATGGTAGGGCTCTCTGCTCAGAGTAAATCTTCTAATTTACAAGAACAAAATAGCCTCTGTATTTGCTTTGAATGCTATTGATGCTCTAAAAAAATTAGATCATAACTTCAAATGCAACCAATAAAAATATTTTGTGAAATCTGGCTCCTTTTAAACCAAAATTTAATGTGGGGTGGTACTGTTTGGTGGTTTCTAGACACCTATTTTAAGTACATTCACAACAAATGAAGCCACTTTTTAGTTGTGTTTAGGGAGAAAAAGGATTTTCATTTTGTCTTTAGGGACAAAATTAAAGCACTTCCTTCAACTGTAAAGTATTTGTTGAATATTATAGCTAACTCTGAATATCCTAGTCATGTTCTTGTCTGGAAACTTAAGTATGGGTAACAGTGTAAACTGGAAAGAACCTTGATACATTGAAACAATTCAATGAGCCTTTGGAGGCTATCCAGAGGTAGGTTTTTTTTTTTCCAAAGTTGAATTTATTCAGTACTCTAGGCATGTTTTTCCTATCAAATCATTGGTTTTTATGTACAAACCCTTAATTCTGTGGAGTACTTTGTCTCATAACTGGCTTAAAATATGGTATACAACACAAAATATGTTAAGATACTTTGTTGTTTCTGTTTTTCAGGGGGTTTGGGAAACAAGGCTTCCAGTGCCAAGGTAAGCTGCCACATTGGATTTTATTTTCAAGTACAACGCGAAATAAGCATTCCAAACAGGAACAGTATTTCTAGTCCTCTTTTCTTTGTGATCCAAAAAAAAAAAAAAATTATTTTCAAAATGAGGTCTGTAAATTTGGGCCATTAAAAAAAAAAATCGTATCGCCTAGTAATCTGCATATGGAGCTGCCTTTTTCTCATTGGAAAAAAAAAAAAACCTTGCTGTAACTTTATTTTTTGCCAAGAACATTCTTGTCAGAAACTGCTGTCTTTGTGTGGGTGTTGAGGAAAAGAAATGGAATCACTTTGTATTCATGTGGCTTTTCTTGTTCTTGCTCGTTTTTGTTCTTTATCTCTTACCTATGCACTGGGTTGGACTCTGTAACTAATCTTAGGCCATGCATCATTCTAGTAGTTTTGTGTTTTTGATTACTGATTGTTCAGAACCAAGTTAGCACATATTAAAGTTTCCTAGATTATAATGGGTTGCTGTGCTAGGAGGCATGTTTTTCCTTTAGTGTGAATGTGCCTTTAATGTGTATATGTACTACTGATTGCATCCGGAAAGAAATCCACTTATTTCCAGAAGTCCATTTATTTCCACCTCGGATGTGTAGTCCCATTTTATACACATCAAGTATCTCCTTTCTTATACGCTCCGTTCTATTTGTCTAAACTTAATACTTTGTACCTTGTGAAGGCATCCCAGGCTCCTAGCCCACCATCTAGCTCTCCTGCTCACTATATTATGTTTGTGTAGTTCTGGTTACATTTCCCATCTGGGCATCGGTTTATTAGGGAAAGTGCGAAGTGTACATTCAACCCAGAAAACCTTATCCTAACACTGTTTAATAGTAAGCACGTTAGGGAGACACTGTGTACTTATAACTCTAAAATTGTGCTAGTGAGGTAGCTTCTAAAGTTCTTCAAATTCATGAACTTGTTTCTTACACTTTCTAAATCTGTTTTTGATGAAGGTATTTTATGGTGTAATCTACCTTCAAGATGTGCTTCAAACCCCTATTGAATAAAAATCACTGAGTTACATTGGGAAATCAAGGGATATTCCTTTAAAGAATAAAGAGAACCGTCTGTTGCATCCCTCTTTACAAAAGATGAAAGGAAGGTGGAGCTCTTTACATTTCTTAGTTGTGGACCTGAATTTACATTAGGCAATATTTGGGTCTCAGCTTGAAATGTGTTTTTTGTTTTTTGTTTTGAAGTTTAAATGTGGAAAGTGTGGTTCTGGGCAACTGATTTGCATCTATTGTTGTAATATTTGGGTGGGAACCTATGGAAACATAAGAACACTTGAGGAGAAAGGAGGCATGCTAAACGGTACCATTTCTTACATACTAAGACTTCAGGATAAGGTTGGTCCCCTTTAGACCTGCTTGTTGGAGTCAGTTTTGTTGGTGAAATCAGTGGCTATATTAGGGGCACAAGGGGGGCCTGCATGA